ATCCCCCCATCAATATTCAGTCCAACATATTTAATTTGATATTTCTTCAAATGTAATTTTATAACAGCTTTGTTATCTATAAACTGCACTGACTTCAGAATTGAAAGTTTCTAAATTTGTTATTTTCAGTTTTTAACTTTGCTTCCAATTCTTATATAGACAACTATAAAGGAAAAACTGCCATATTTTGCAGGTTATTTGGCTCAATTTCATGTGTTCAAAGAATCATATGTGCCTTAATGTCACATATTAATAACAGTTTAATAAACCAAGTCTGACAACATGCCTAACATAATCTACTATTATTCTTCATGGACTGTGAATATGTTGCACTTTTTAGGAAAATAACTATAATAACACTGAGAAGAAAACAAATTCAACCATGGTGATTATGCGGGGAAAAAAATTCCAAAAATTTTATTAAGCAAAATCTGTTACAGATCTAACTGAATGGTTACGGAACAGAAATTTAAATATATAACTTCCCATTTTTAAAGTTTATATATTTTTTTTGTGATACAAACTGTTTTGAAACAAATGGAAGTAGAAAAAGAAAGAACCTTGCCTAAGTTTTGAATCTTTAAATATTTTTTTAAAAATTGTCAAGACATAAAGAAAAGTGCATCAACAAGTCATCTATCTGAGATAATAATAAAAAATAATAATTTTGTAATTCTCATTGTGAATACATGACTTTTTATTGAACTGGGCCTTTTAAAAAAAGTATCCAGCATTCAATTCAATAGGAGCAATGCACCATATGGATTAGATACCACTTCTTAAATAGAGGTAGTCCTTGATTTAGAATCACAGTTGGGACCAGAATTTCAGTTACTAGTCATTAAGTGAGTCAACATGTGACCAGACCTGTTTTACAACTATTCTTGCAGCAATTAAGATAAGTAAATGGTTAATAAGTGAATCTTACAGTTGTTAAATAAATCTGGTTTTCTCAAATGACTTTGCTCATTGGAAACCAGGTGGAAAGATGCAAATCATGATTATATGAACACAAGACATTGCAACCATTGTATATGTGAGCCAAGTGCCAAGTGCCCAAATTGCAACTACATAACTGCAGGGCTGGTGCAATAAGCATAACTTTAATGACAGATTGTACGTCATTTTTTTCTGAGGATGTCATAACTTCGAGCCAATATTAAATGAATGGTTATTAGTCTAAGACTATACAGAAAGAGTCTTGATGCTCAAAACAAATCTTCACCATGTTTAGAATCTGTTTCCTATCTTGGCCAGTAAGTTCTTCTTTCTCTACTATTTACACCATTCATGTCACTTCTAGTAGAAAGCTGTAGGGTGAGTGGGGTTGTAAAAATCTTAAAGAATTTTACAAAGTGTATAGAACAAAATCTTTCCTAAGCTGAAGGACATATTCATTAAGGCACAAGTTGCCAGGGACCAGACATAAAAAATGGAAAGAAGAAGGGGGAAAAAAATCTGCAGCCAAAACATTTTAAACCTTACATGCTAAAATTACCCCTTTACTTATTTAAACTTGCCTGTCTTCTCTTTTATACAAAGTATATAATAAATTTAAAGAAATATAAATTATCTTAAAAGAACTTGAAGAGCATCCTATGAGCTGTATGATATATCTATATTTCCCTTTATTTTGCATTATTGTGTTATTATTATTCATCTGTATTTTTATATTAATATTCCTTCCCTTTTGTTTTTAACAAACATTACATTATTTATTTTGTTTACAATATTTGTGGTGTCAAAAACTACATATTTTTTCTTCTTTCTTTCTACCAACATGTTTTGAAAAAAATGTAAGGAGAAAAAGGAGAAAAAAGAAACTTGCCTAGTTTTGAATCTTTAAATTATTTTTTTAAAAATTGTCAAGACATAAAGAAAAGTGCATCAACACATTATCTACCTGTGATAATAATAAATAATAATTTTGTAATTCTCATTGGGAATACATGATATTTTATTGGAGGTACATGAATTGTCTCTTGCCACTGCTACATACGAATACATGTACACATTTGTTTATTATGTCCACTAACATTCCTGATTGAACACATATTAATTATTTTTACATTACAGTTGTAATTAAAAACAATTATATGGTGCCATGTGATATTTATTTGAAAAAGAGAGATGGAGAAAGTAAGCTCCAGTATGTGTTAAGCTCATATCAGCTCACATTCTATTGCTGGTTAACTGGATATTCTTTCACTCCAAAACTGAATCAATATCTCGCTGAAAAGTCTTGATGCCATTAGGGAAAAGGATGGCCAGAGTATGTATGTATGTATGTATGTATCAGAGGTAGGTATGTTTCAGCAGGTTCTGACCAGTTCTGGAGAACCGGTAGCGGAAATTTTGAGTAGTTTGGAGAATCAGTAGTAAAAATTCTGACTAGCCTCGCCCCCATCTATTCTCTGCCTCCCAAGTCCCAGCTGATCAGGAGGAAATGGAAATTTTGCAGTAACTTTCCCCTGAATTGGGGAGGGAATGGAGATTTTACAATATCCTTCCCCTGGAGTGGCTGGGAATGGAGATTATACAGTATCCTTCCCCTGCTACACCCACCAAGCCATGCCACGCCCACCAAGCCATGCCACGCCCACCAAGCCACACCCACAGAACCGGTAGTAAAAAAAATTGAAATCCACCACTGGTATGTATGTATGTATGTATGTATGTATGTATGTATGTATGTATGTAATACCACCTTTCTCTTCCTTCAAACATTTATTTCTGATTGCACCCCACATACTTATAGATTGATATCACCCTGCAACAGGCTCTATCAAATCTACATCTCTTGCACACACCGTGCTCCCTTCCAAACCTGCAACTTCTCACTTCTTCCCCTACCCACAGCAGCCACTCAACTGCCTGCTGACTTTAGACTTACATTCTCCTGCTGGTTTCTCCATTAACTTACTCTAGAAGTCTGGTTAAAATATTAGAAATGATTTTTTTAAAACCACTGGAATAGGAGCAATTGGCCTTGAAGAATTGAAATTCTCTACCAGATCTGCAGGTATAGAAATTGGCTGATTTCTCTGAATTTCTCCAGGGGGAAAAAACATTTCTAGGAATTTCTCAAAGACAGGATTGCACAGTGCCTCTATTATTTAAAAAGCCCAAGGAGAAAAGTTCTCTCAGATTGTCTTCCCTTGGGACTGAACTGATGAATAGTGGGTGAGGAAGGCTGCAGACCATTGAGAGATAATTGTATAATGCAAAAAAAGATATTCATACAGACTTCTTGGCCACTTTCCAATGAAATAAGCACAATACCATACTCCATTAATGAGAGTTTCAGTGGAATGAGAGCTGATGGGCAAAACATTGAAGAAAAATCTGTTTAGCTGATTGCATAAAACATGTAAACTTGGGATGGAGGAACAGTCTTTTTTCCAAGCCAGTAGTGATTATTATTGCAAGAAGGTCTATGGTATGCCTGCATAAGGATGCTGCACCTCTTTTAAACCAGTTCCAGATCCCAAATTCTACCACATTGGCAGTGCTTGAGAATGAGATAATTTATTTCTACCTTAATTTCAGGATGTTGGCAAATCAGGCAAGTAAGCATTTTGTTTTTCAACATTATTGAAATCGTGGGCAATCCAGATTTCTCACTCATGGGAAGTCTTATCTTCCCATCAGTGTCCTAGACTCTTTATCCTGTGTCCTAGACTCTTTATCCCCCAGAAAGTTTAGATGTCTGTCCAGAAAACTGATTTCAAGGCAAATCAGTCTAGAAAAACACAAAATATTCTTGTGTGCTTTGCAAATTACTAGCTTTTTACTGAATAAAAAAATAGAACTCTTCACAATGTTGTGCTAGGAAGAGTTTCCAGAATCTGTAAATAATCCAACAACCAGGATTAGTCCCAGTTGCACTTCCCCATCTGTGCTGTCATAGCAGCAACAATCATGATTACAGATATTGTGGAAAATACCTACTTGCAATAATGCCAACATACTATCCTTCAAGCTTCATAGTTTGTGGAGTTTTTAAAACTAAAACAGAAAGTATGGCAACTTTACAGCCAGAGAAATTTATTTCATAGTAGCGGCTCAGGTTTTTGTGAGGTTTTTTTGCAAATGTACAGTAAATGCATGCAATAAATATTGAAAGCAGAAGTGGGAGGGAGGCAAGAATGGACCAATAGAAGCAGGCAGTGATTGAATGCCATTATCTTGATTCTCCTATATATCATCTGGAGTGAACATTGACCAGTCCATGGCGTTCCTCGCTGTTCACAGCTTTTCAAGAAGTAAAACCCCTAGGAATTTATTTTAACTTCCTTTTAAGGACTGGACAGTGAAAATAGTGTGTGTCAAGCATACACACACATATGCCACACACATATATACATACATATGTAGATATACTTGTTTGTATGGAAGGCATATAGAACAACTTTATTGTAACTTTGAATGTACACTAATTGGCATACATTGAAATGACATTTCATTGCATATAGCTCTCAAAGGGTCACTACCTCCAATATACACTACATAGGCATGACAAAATAAATTAATAAATAAATAATTCAAAATTATGCATATAAACCCACATATATTATATGACACAGAGAAACAACAGAGTCTAGTTCAGATATATACATGTACATGGAGAGTAAAACAAATCTTGCGAGTTTATCAGATGGATGGCGTAGGCAACAAAGCTGTTACAGAATCTGGTAGTCCTGCTAGAAATACTTTAAAACCTCCTCCCAGACAGGAGCAACAGAAACAGACCATACAGTGAGTGTTTGGGATCTCTAACAATGCTTTGAGCTCTAAGCACATAGCGCTTATAAGCAGTATCCTGAATAAGAGGAAGCGAACTCCTTATAATCTTCTCAGCTGTTCTCACCACTCTCTGTATGGACTTTCTATCTGAGGCATTGCTGCCACCAAACCAAACAGTGATGCGGTTCATTAAAACACTCTTAATTGTGCCTCTGTAAACAGTGAGTAGGACAGAAGGAGAAAGATCTGCTTACCTCATCCAGGAAATGCAGACGCTGGTTTGCAGATTTTACTTAAGATGACACAAGGAGAGACCAGTTCAGATTGTTAGTTATCTATACCCTCAGATACTTAATACTGTTGCCTACCTCTATAGCTGCATTCTTGATACTGAGTGGAATATGACTATGCCGGCTCTTTCTAAAATCTACAATGATCTCCTTTGTTTTATTAACATTTAGAACAATGTTACTTTTATTGCATCAGCCCACGAGAGCCTTCACCTCTTCCCTATAAGCATATTCATTGTTGTCCCGGATAAGACCCACCACTGTCGTGTCATCTGCATACTTCACAATATGATTCGTAGCAGATTAGACACAGCAATCATGAGTCATCAACCCAGTGGGTCAACAGTAGTGAATTTAAGACACAGTCCTATGGGGAACCTGTACTGAAGGAGATGGAGTTGGAAACTTTTCTTCTAACTCACACAAACTGAGGCCTATCAATAAGGAAATCAAGTATTTAATTACATAAAGGAGTATTAAAACCTAATAGGCCCAGTTTGTTCACCAAATACTGAGGAATGATTGTGTTGAACACCGAACTAAAATCAACAAACAGCATTCACACATGTATTCTTCTCCTCCAGGTGTGCTTAGCTCCAGGTATAAGATGAAGCACACAGGAAAGTGCATCATCTATAGAACGGTTCTTCTGATAGGCAAACTATAATGAGTCAAATGTAGGGAGAAGGCGTTAAACCATATAGACCTTTACCAATCTCTCAGAACACTTCATCATAATGGAAGTGAGTGCAACTGGATGGTAATCATTAATATATACAGCATGATGATTCCTGATTCTATATGCGTGTTCTTGGTCACTCATTAAAGGAATCTTCTGAGCTAGTGAAATAATTTTTCACAGAGGACTATTACTGAAAGTGAAGGTGAAAGTTCAGTCTCCTAGCTTCTGGGTTGGTTTCTGAACATTTCATTACCAGGCTAGGTAATATCTTCAGTGGAGTTTAGGGAATGACATCCCCTAAATTCCGCTGAAGATGTTACCTAGCCTGGTAACAAAATATTCAGCAACCATCCCAGAAGCTAGGAGACCGAACTTTCACCCGTATCCTACACCCGAGATACAGATATTCACCACTATTGCATTACTGAAACCATAATAGATTTACAGAAATATTCTTGGAACTTGAAAGCTGACGTACCCTCACATCTGGAGGATACTAATTTCCTAATAAATGTATTATGTGCAAATTCTTCTATGATCTCCCCTTATTCACTTGTTAAAAGAAATAAAAGGTTATTTTGTTTTCACAATCTATTTGCTTCAGCCTTAGCTGCTTGAAGAAAATATGATATTATTTTGATAATAATGATCTTTCCAGAGTTCAGCTATGTTTCTAGAAGGATAAATTCTTTTCTATTTAGAAGCTGTACTCTCTGTGAACAAATTGAAAGGGTGAGCTTATCCAGGCTGAAATTCAGCAGGTTCTGACAAGTTCTGGAGAACTGGTAGTGGAAATTTTAAGTAGTTTGGAGAACCGGCAAATACCGGCCTCAGGGTGGGGTGGGAATGGAGCTTTTGCAATATCCTTTCCCCAGGACTGGGGAGGGAATGGGGATTTTGCAGTATCCTTCTCCTGCCACGCCCACCAAGCCACACCATGCTCAGCAAACCACGCCCACAGAACCGGTAGTAAAAAAATTTGAATTCCACCACTGAGCTTATCCTACCAAAATGGGAAGGCAGAGTGTGTTACAGGTCCTGTCTATAAAGAATTGCACATAATGGGACTTAGAAAAAGGGCCTCTGTAGTGTGTCCGTGTCTCCAGAACATCCCTTCCTCAGAAATAAGGGTGCCCTCCCCCCTTGCTACTTTTCCTGAGGTCCTTGAAGACATAGTTCGGTCAATGGGTCTGGGGAACCTAGGTGGATTTGATAAAATGACTTGTATGATCATGTTTGTTGTTGCCATGGAGGATGGGGTGAGGGTTTCTAGGATTTTTATATTGTTAATTTTTAATGCTGCATATTGCCCAAAGTCATTGTGTGTAAATTGGTCAGATAAATATATTTAATAATTTTTTTAAAAAGCATCTTCATTTATGTTTCATGTTTTTGCCTATGCAAAGAAATAGATTATATAATGATATCCTATCATTGATCTGTGAGAAGTGAACAAGCATGTTTGTTTAACTGTTACATTTTTTTTACTATGCATCCCCAGTTTTGTTTCCAATCAAAAGATAAAGAATAAAGGGAAAAGGGAGATGTTAACTTTTTGATCATATCTGTCAAGCTGATCCACAAATGTCAGAAGCCTCATAACAGGAAACAGGCTTTGCATGCTTAAGCTTCCAGACCTATTCATCCTGGAATAAGAATGCACATTGCTTTCTAGTATATTACTCATCTAGGTGACACAAGAAGAATCCAAGTAAAATAATAATGATCCAGGTCATTTGGCATCTTCTTCTCTATCAAAGCTAACCAGAACAGGGGTGGGTTCTAATTATTTTTACTACCGGTTCTGTGGGTGTGGCTTATTTTGTGGGTATGGCTTATTTTGTGGGCGTGGCTTGATGGTCATGTGACAATTATTTAGGATTTAGCAGAGGTACTGGTCTACCAGGTTGTACCAATCTACTCATGTATTTTTGCAGGCACTGATCTACTCATGCATTTTTGCAGGCACTGATCTATTCATGCATTTTTGCAGGCACTGATCTACTCATGCATTTTTGCAGGCACTGGTCTACTCATTTGTTTTTTTTTAACACTGATCAGCTGTAGGGCGGCCCTTTGAAGCCCCACTGCAAGAGTTTAAACATTTTTTTTCCCTCTAGCCATCAGCTTGGATTCAGGAGGCAGCAATAGATTGGGGGAGGGGCCAAATAAAAGGTAAGAATAACGCGGGTGGGTGGATGGGCGGCGGGGTGGGTGGGGGGCAGGGGGGCAGAACCGGTTCAGTGATGTCATATCGTCACTGCTACCAGCTCGGCGGAACCGGGCGGAACCAGGCGGAACCCACCACTGAACCAGATGCTTCTGGAAGCTCATTCCAAGCCCATGAAAACACCTCCCATTTAAAATCCTCCAACTTCATCTACAGGCATATAGTGTCTTCTTCCTCTAAATCTAAACAATGTAGCTACCAATGGCACTAGCTGCTGGAAAAAAAATTGTTCATGTTTTTTAGCAACTCATGCTACTCTCAAGGAGCAGCCCCAGTGGTGAAATCCAATTTTTTTTACTACCAGTTCTGTGGGTGTAGCTTGGTGGTCATGGTGTGGCTTGATGGGCGTGGCTTGGTAGGCTTGGCAGGGGAAGGATACTACACAATCTCCATTCCACCCCATTCCAGGGGAAGGATATTGCAACATTCCCACCCCACTCTGGGGCAAGCCAGAGGTGGCATTTGCCGGTTCTCCGAACTGCTCAAAATTTCCGCTTCCTATCAGAACTTGCTGGATTTCACCCCTGAGCAGCCCCCTTTTAGGCACCAGGGATTGGTTCCATGGACAGAGGTTTTCCACAGCCTGGATTTCGTGTGCTGCCTGCATCCCGCAGATGGGGCTTTGCTTATTTCCATGGCCTGGTTTCTGGCATGCCACGGACCGGGGTTGGGGACTTCTGCTCAAGAATATCTACTCACCCTACAAGGTCCATAAGGAATTCATGCTCCAGTTTTTCTTTTTTAAATTTTGCCACTTTATTGGAGCTCAGAAGTGTGCCTATTCAGTAGCTGCTCTTGTTCTCTGGAACAATTTATCTTCAATAAACAGTATGACAGTCCCTAAAGACAACACTTTAGGAAAAATGTTACTGCTTGCTTTTAGCAAAGCTGTTTAAACCTGGCTTTTCCCCCAGGTATTTGGGCTCAATTGAGTGGATACCCTTTTGTGTGTTTCATTAATGTGTTTGGTCGTTATCATCTTTAAGGGAGATGGGAGGTTTAGAAACATGAAATATAAATAAATACATTTTATATCTTGTACAGGTAGTCCTCAACTTACAACAGTTCATTAAGTGATCGTTCAAAGTTACAATGGTGCTGAAAAAAGTGACTGTTTTTCACACTTGCAGAATCCCCATGGTTACATTATCAGAATTCAGATACTTGGCAACTGACTCATATTTATGCACAGTTGCAATGTCCCAGGATCATGTGATCACCTGTTACGATCTCCTGACAAGTAAAGTAAATTAGGAAGCCAGATTCAGTTAACAACCCTCTTACTAACTTAGCAACGATGGTGATTCACTTAACAACTGTAAAATGAGGCAAAACTCACTTAAATGTTTCACTTAGCAACAGCACTTTTGGGCTCAGTTGTGGCTGTAAGTTGAGAAATACCTGTATATTGTACATGTTTAAATCAGGGGTGAAATCTAGCAGGTTCTGACAGGTTCTGGAGAAGCGGTAGCGGAAATTTAGAGCAGTTCAGAGAACCAGCAAATACCGCCTCTGGCTGGCCCCAGAGTGGACTGGGAATGGAGATTTTGCAATATCCTTCCCCCTGGGATGGGGAAGGAATGAGGATTTTGCAGTACCTTTTCCCTGGAATGGGGTGGGAATGGAGATTTTGCAGTATCCTTCTCCTGCCATGCCTACCAAGCCACACCCACCAAGCCACACCACGTTCACCAAGCCACGCCCACAGAACCGATAGTATAAAAATGTGGATTTCACCACTGCTTTAAATGTTCTTATGGTTATTTCAATTTATTGTTTGTTTTTCTATTATACATTTTCCAGAGTCACATTGTCTCATTTAAATACAATTTTACAGAAGACTATAAAGATTTTTTAAAAATGAGTTTAAACCACTATTTTGCCACTGAGTTTGGGCAATATAATCCTGAATTTTTAGAATGCCCCCCCCCAAAAAAATCCAGCAGAGCAAGTGATGATTTATATCTGACTCAATGGCTGTGAATTACTCTCCATTCAATAAAGGAAATCAGATAATAATTGAACATTTAATCTGGTGGAGTTTATTGACACTACAGAAATCTAACTTAATTTTTCTTTCCCTATGAGAGAAATTCTGTTTTACAATTTTGGTTTTAAGTTTGTTTTAAGACCTTAATTTATTGCTGAAAAAAGTGGAAGTTTGGGTATTGTCTCTGATTTTCTATTCCATATTTTTTGCACCTGTATTTGTCTGCAAGAAATTTGAGAACTCTTTAACTCTTATAATATAACCATATTCCATTATGTGTCTCATTTAGTTTCAAAACATTATTGTACATATGTTAATACAAACTTTAGGAAACATGCAATACAGTA